CAATGGCAAATCTTCACCAAAGCCGAAAACCGACGTCAAAAGGTGTATTCAAGAGTAGTTGAATGAATTTTTTTTATTTGTATGGAGCTTTTATTTATATGCACAATTTTCCTTTTAAAAGATGGCGAATGTAGGGTAGGTCAAAATAAATCATAAAATCTTATTTAAAATTTTTTTCAAAGCTTTTGGTTGGAAAAAAAGAACGTATTGATGGGTAAAGCTGATTTGGAATTTGCTCTAAATCGTTCAAACTGGAATTATGTTTCCAGTAATATATTCCGACATATTTTGAATCCACTACTGTTTATCGAAGGAGTTGTACAAGAAAAAGGTGGTGAACCAACTGAAAAAAAATCAGATAAAAATGATTGTTTTGGTTGATCACGAGAATATTTTTGTTGGAAAGTTATCACAAGTCTTCAAAAAACTTTGTGAAAAATTCACTATCTAAATTTCACCTTTATATAATTAAATAATCGTGGTGGGTAAAGACTTCTTTAGAAAAATTTACAAAATTGCATTGGATTTATATCTTCTCTTTGTTATCAAGCCGAAGATAATGACGAAGAAGATGATGACAATGAAGATGATGATGACAGGCATGTTGACAGTAACGAGTAGTGTGACGGGGTTAATTGACAAGCACAAAAATTAGTAATGCTGCCGAAACTGTTATATCTTAGCATTAGAGAAATGCTAAAGTTGTTTTATAAAGTTGTGATGTTTTGAGAACAAAGCTTGCATGAGAATTTTGTGTTTGTTAGATGAATTATATGAGATTCACTTTCATAAAAGCTGTCCTGCATAGTAAACATTAAAAATAAGTTTTACATATTACATTAATTTAGCATAGGCTTTTGATAAATCTATGAAGTTAATTGTCACATAAATTTGAATACACGCAACGTAAAATCAAGAACTAGCCCCCAATTTATATCATGAATAATGTACTTCAAACTTGGCGACTAGACGAGTTGACCTTGTTGCATTTTACACGATATTTTTGCCTTAGAACAAACGTAAACACGCAATTTTTCATTCGTACTTTTATTTTTCGTATTGACTTTAGTGCTGTCACTTAGGCTTTGCAATATACAGAAGATATCGTCAAAGGAAAAGAAGAACAAGAAGACCAAGCGGAGCTAATGAGTATTGTTAACGTAGATAGCTCTTTTCGTTAATAAGCTCATACATTTGTTAGAGTAAATGAGGGAATTTTATCCAGTCAAGGAGAGGCCTCGGGTACAGCTAGGTCTAAGGAGAAAGAGAGTGAAAAAGGCGAGCACAAGGCTACATGTATGTATACCTTCGTTAGCTAGGGTTGTACCAAATATAGACAGGACATCGCAACTAAAACTAAGATTTAGTCTAGGCAGTTTACACTTACTATGAGGAACCAGCCATTACATTTTGTACACCCTCACAACCACCAGGTATTGACTAATAGCAGTGTTTCATCCTTTCAAAAATTGTTCTGTATGGATAGGAATAGAGTTTCGCCTATTCAGTCTTGGCATCCACAAGTTAAAAAATTTAATAGCATTGTCATCAAAATCAAATATATATGTGTCTTGTAGATATTGAATGAATTGACACATTATAAGGAATATATTGTCACGTGATACATTCAAAGCTATTACGGGCAGTTTACACATCGCAGATCAAGTGAGTATGTCATAGGTTAAGAAAGGTTAATACATATGATACAATGTTTAGATCGCTTTTTCAAGATTTGTTTCAACCATCAAAAACTTAACAGTAGATGAGTACATGATAAAAGCATTGGTCAGGTATAAAATAACATATGAAATACAAGCCAAGTAAGTTTGATATTAAGTTTTGGGTCACAGTGTATAGTCAGAATAGGTATTCTTTAGACTTTGATGCTTACATCGTTAAAAAAGCGGCCAACTATTCTTCATATGAATTGGGGTATGATGTATATTCCAACCATATTTTCATCAAGGTTACTATGTATTTTTCATAATTTTTACACTCATCCTAGATTAGTGCATGATCTGTTTTGCATTCTTTCTCCTCTTCAAGCACATGTGGGATAACTAAGTTAAAACACTCTAAAACTTCATAGAATCGTAGACAATTTCAAAAATTTGAGCATGTGGCCATTAGGTGGAGTGGTGGATCAATGATCCTTGCACTCCAATGGCATGATAGTAAGGTAATATTCATTCTCAACACTATTGACAAGGCCAATTAATTGTCGTTGTATTTAAACAAACAGTTACCAGGTATGAGGAATTTAGGAAAGTAGAGATCCCCCAAACTGTAGCTATGGATCGCTACAATAAGAACATGAATGTGTTAGATAGGTCTGATCAACTGATATCCTCCAAATAAAGTTTAAGGGAAACATATGAAAGTATCACGATTGACATCAATTAGGGCAAGCTTTTTGACAGAATGTTGCTGACAGTTAAATACGACCTTTATGTTATCATTTTTGTAACAGCTATTAAAATACAAGCTGAATATATACTGAACGTTTTTCAATCAGAAAACAGATTACTAACAAATAAACTCTATAAAAAATTTCAGTTTGCAAAGTTTAGAAAAAAATTTGATGCAACTTCTTTTCAAGTTAAAATTGAACAATTGGCATTTCTGTTACTGTGACTTAAGAACTTTTCATAGGTAAACCAAACCCATAAAATTGCTGCAAAATAAGATTTATATCAATATTACTTGTTTTTTACTTAGCTATAAAGGTAGAACATGAAGTTGAAATAGATTTCGACCTTTGGCAACCAATTTATATATTTATTTTTTATCATATGTTGCTGCTTTAATAGTGCTCCACAACACAAATTGAAAGAAAATCATACAAATCCGTCTGCTTTGTAAGACCATTACTCTGCTTTTTCCAGAAAGACGTTAAAAAAATCAAAAGCCTTACTGTAATAAAAAGGAGAGCATATGCATGAAACGTAATAATGTCTTTCTATAAAGTGTTAAGATTAATAAGTGCATAATGATTAAAAAGAGATTTGCATCTACGCAATGAGAATTTCGAAGTATTTTGATGACATTAATTTTTTATTCCAGTTGATAGACATTTAATAAGTATTTTTGGTTGACAGATTACAACGAAAGAATAAAAATTGATTTACACTTCTTTTTAATTTAAATGCAAATGATATAATTACTTATATTGCTTCGTGCAATTAATTAAGACTAAATTCTATCTCAATCGACTATATCAAATAATATTTATAGGTCACAAAGAGCAAGTAAACTCTTGTGAAATTCAATGGCTTAGCTAAATATCCCACTCATCATGACTAACATTTCTCATGATTAAGAATTCTAACAATAAATATTATAGCTCGTTAAGGAGGATATTTTTAGTCTAAAAAAGGTAGTTTTGAAGAGCTAGTAGATCAGCTACGTTGTACAGTTATGCGTGCAGTAAGGGAGTAGATAAATATAATAAATTTCTAATTACGTCATACAGACGCAATGCATTTAAGCCAAAGTAACTGTCCACCATTATCCCTTGCACTAATGAAATTAAATGCCAAGAGTATTTTTCATTTATTCCTTCCTCATTTTTATTAAGTTTTTCCATTTTTGAAGCAATGAAAATTTTATTATTCGCTATGTAAGCAATGTTGGCTGTGATTGGTGAACTACATACAGATAATTTTCGATATCTTCAATTATGACGTCATTTCTACGAATAATAGTTTCTACAATTATGGACGCCATTGAAAAAAGGTTTTGAAAGCAAACGAAACAAGTGAGTGTTTGCCAAAGTTTCTAAAAACGATGTAAAAGCTCTTGAACGAATTTAATAGGATGCGGAAAACACTAAAAAAGGGGCGAAGCGTGCTTTGAACATATTTACAACATATTTGAACGAGATGAACAAGTTTAAAAAAATTTTTATATTGATATGTTTTGATACTACTTTAGATAGTTAAAGTGAATAATAAAACAACTATCGAACTCGTTTTTTTTATGACTCGCTTCGGTAGATAACGATGATCTTGGTCTGAATAGTTCTTGATATCGTGCTCAACCTCATCCAATAATTGCTTCATTGTCAAAAACTAACCCTTGAAAAAAAAGGCCTATTCTATCAGCTAGTCAAAGTTAGCTTTGCTAGCATGCTTAGCTGGGTAGATTCCCCAATACCTATGCATTTAAAATAGATCCGCTTCAAAATTATTTATTACAAGTGAAGGCTTCTTATTGCTAAAAAAAATGATAAGTTTAAGATGACAGCTATTATGAGGTTAAACATTAGCTATTTTTACATATATAGTTTAATATAAGAAACATATTCATGTTATAAAGTGATTAATGCATTGCAAAGCAGTATATTGCTTTCATATTTTGATATTTGGTTCTTTTTAAGAAACTGCTTTGCTGATGATATTCAATATCAAAATAGTCACTCAAAGTAGCAATTTGCAAGTGAATTTTAAATTGAAATGACAAATATGGTATGTATATATATGTATATATACATATGATGAGATTAAATGGCTGATGAAGTAACTGTATTTGCTTAGTGCAATAGGGTAGTAGAAATATACGGCGGACTCGCGGGCATATAAGTTTAATCACAAGAGACGAGATTCCAGGTGTTGCAAAATGAGAACATAGAGTATTTTAAAAGATTATCTTTATGTTCTTAAATGCCAAGCAGCAAAGTAAAAGAGACAACACTCTGTAAAGTTAGACAATAGTTGCACTTGCGTTAGAGTCTTTTACTAGCCTCTACATTGTATCTTTTTTTATCCAATGAATTTCATGTTTCATCAAATAAATGGACAGAAGAGCTGGCTTTATTGACTGATAGTATTCAAATTGTTTTGAAAATTTAGGCAATTGGCAAAAATGGTTAGCGTAAATAGGTTAAGTTTTGCAAAACCGTTTGCCAAAACGTTTTCCTTGTTCATTCTTATGGGAAATATCTCTGACACCTGGAAGTACACAACACAATTAAATATTTTTATAGTTATAGACGGCTCATGTCTGGTGATAGCTGCGATAAAATTTTGTTAATATTTGCAGTTGTCGTAAAAGTCTTGCAATGTCAAAATTACTTTGCAAGATTTAATCAACCAACTAAAAATGATGTTTCAAGGATATTGTAGTACATGAAGTTCTTCACTAAAAAGCTGGGTAGTATGTTTTTTAAATTCAGTTAATCTCCCAAAGTGCACGGTTATCATAGTTATCATCTGACATAACACATTTTGGATTTTCTGACTAACGAGATTCTCCTGCCCCTGGTTTTTCTCCCGTACTCAAAATGTATGGAAAATTCACAGTACTTGAATCAAGTAGACATTATATTTATGATGTTTAAGTCTCCACTGTACACGAGTGTAAGTCTTGTTTATGGTGCCCACGGCAAGATTTGATTCATTTATCCCTCATTCGCAACGGTAATGACCTACTATCTCCTGTCCAGATGAGTACAAGTAGTGTTTGGTAATGCGGTTTCCAAAGATATAGGTACTGTGGCCAAACTCTATTATGTTTCTTCCCATAAGACCATAAAGTAATGGCAATGCCAAATAGTTTTTCGAAAATTGTCCACAATATTTTTTCACCTTATTGCGTAGTGTGTGAGCTGAAAAAGGAAGATTATAATAATGCTTGTCAATATAATCCTGTTTTCAAAGATGAATTCTTAGTGACAACATTCAAATTCTGAAGTAATGAAATGCATGGAGAAAAGATTTGCCCCAAAAAGTAACCTGGCTTTTTAGATTAAATATTTGTGCAAGAAATTTGACCAGTCAAATATTAGTGCATCGTCAGTGCAAATCTGTAACTTTTTGTAACTGATGCTTTTTCAAAAGAAGCATGATTTCGTTGGATATTAAGAGAGGGTTCGTTTTAACATTGTAGATGTAGATCTTTTCGAATAGTAAAACTTTAAGAAGAACTTTTTATGTTGATGTTGATTGACGTTTCGACAACCAATGGCAGCAGTCATCTTCAGAGTCAAGTTGATGTGAGATAGCCGGGAATATATTTTTCCTTTCGGACCCCCCAACAGATAAATAACTTATAATTCAGAATACTAGCATCCAGATTTATTTTATGCGCCCGTTTAGTGCCGAAGAAGACACATGACTTCATCGGCTGCACGAGTAACTTTGATTTAAAATGACGTGGTTGTCACAGAAATGGAGTATTTTGCAGATACATATAGCTACGCAACTATTTTCACATAAAAAAATTACGTAAAAATATTAGCCTTAAATAACTTACAATTGTAAGACTCAAGTCCCCGACTTTTTGTTTGAAATTCACTATTCATGTATTGATATTGTTGACTCCTTAGTTCAGAAGCTGCACTGAATGAAAGCTTAAAATGCAATATGTTGTCTAAAAGAATGTAAAGACAAGTACAATCATTCGATGAGATGTAATCTTCAATGAAACGGACTATTTGAGTCTTCACATTTTATTACTTTGTGCTATGTTGATGAAATGTAAAATGCAAAGCTGATCACCAAAGTATTGTTTTAGCTAAATGTACAAAAACAGCGTAGTACCAGTAAGAGACGTTCACTGATATAGAAGAATTTACCAGAATACTATCACGATTAATGAACCAATGTGTCAACAACAAAACATACCGCATTTTTCTTTGAAATAAAATTCAAACAGCATATCAAATGAAAAAAAGGTTTTGTAAACCCTGAATGGCATTCTATAATTAGAAAATATGTATTCAAATTTTGTGTGTAAACGCGTTGATTGGCTATTTTATTTTCATTTGCAAATTCCGCGTCCGGAATCTTCTCCTGCATCCCGTATTCCATTTCTGCATTTAAGCTCTACGCGCTGATTATTACCAGTTTTATAATTTCAGCTATCTCCAAGTTGTCATTTCTCAAATAAGAGATTTATTTAGAAATTTTATACAGCCTGTTCTAAATTTTTACAAGGCTCAAAGCGCAAAGCAGGTGCGTGTCAGACGTAATTTAAAAAATTTTGATTCCCACAAAGTACATGGAATTTTCCAATTGGCCAAAATAAACAATTATGTTTTGATTTGAGTAATTAGATAATGGGAAGTTTTAACAGTCGTCATAGATCAGCTTGCAAACATTTGTATGTACTTCTGAAAATTGTTAAGTTAACTAACTTAACAGCAGGACAGTTTTACACTAGTAACCCGGCCATAAACCATATGGGCACATGTCACTCTGAGATCTACAAAAATATAGGTAAAAATATTTGGGAGTGGTGCATTATACGAAACATCTGAACTTCAGCAGCACACATCCCAGGGATAACTAATATACGAGCCGAAAAGAATCGAGAAATGTTAATGTAGGTGCACAGTGGATGTTGAACTCGATTGATTTACAAATGTCCTTAGCGAAGCTAAAATTCCCATCTGAAATAGACATGTTTGCCACTAGAATTAACAAATAGTTCAGACGGTTTGCATCACTGAAACCAGATCGGGAAGTTAAAATAATAGATGCTATTACAGCACAATGGGGGACTTTACAATTTTATGTTTCAACCCTTTACTGTCATACAAATTGTGTTACGAAAAATTATGGAGGACAATTAAGGCTATCGGAGTTTGCGTTCTACCAGATTGGCCTACTCAAATTTGTCACGCCAAGGCCATGGAGGTATGCATGTACAGACCGACAACACTTCAACAAGAAAGGACTGCCTCTTCGTATCGAGCTCGCTTGAAGAACAACAATTCTTCTACAAGAAACTGCGTTTGCTAGTATTTCTATTATTAGGGCGAAGATAGAACGATACAACATCTCAACCACAGCAAAAGACGTCATCATTGCATGTTGAAGGGATGGTACCAGAAAACAACACTACACATATCTCTCCAAGGGGAAGGATTCTGCGCAAAAAGAAACATTAACTGCTTCAATGCAACGTTAGAACAAGGGATCGATTTCCTTGACCATTTATTTGAAAAAGGTATTCGTTACAGCACAATTAGCACTGCAAGATCAGCTTTGTTACAACATCTCAACCACAGCAAAAGACGTCATCATTGCATGTTGAAGGGATGGTCCAGAAAACAATACTACACGTATCACTCCAAGTGGAAGAGATTCTGCGAATAAAGAGACATTAACTGCTTCAATAAAACGTTAGAACAAGGGATCGATTTCCTCGCACTTTTGTTTGAAAAAGTTCTTCGTTACAGTGCAAGCAACCTTGCAAGATCAGCTTTGTCGTTGATAATAGCAACGAATGATGGGAGATCATTTGGAGAAAATTAAGGTGGTGTGACGATTTGTTAAAGGTGTGTTTGAAATTAAACCAGTGTTGCCGAAATATAAAGAAATATGGGACGTTGGGAAGGTCTTAAACTACCTGAAATCAATTTCCCCGGACCTAAGAATTATCACTCAAACAACTAACTCATAAAGTTGTTAGGTTTTTGACACTTATAATGGCACAAAGTTGTAAGTCCATTTATAAGCTTGATATAAAAACTACCAGAAAAAATACGTCTTCGCCATTGAAAGTAAATCAAAACACACAAGACCGGGAACCTATCAGAAACTAATCAAACTAATAACCTACAGTGACAAGAATCTTTGTATTATACAGCATTTAGAATCATACATTTTGCGTATGGCTAAGATACGTGGAAGTAGCTCACAACTATTGATTAGCTTTATAAGACTACATAATCCAGTCTCCAAAGATAAGGTTGCACGTTGGATTAAGGGAGTCTTCAGGCTGCTGGAATAAACTCGAAGACCTACACACCGCAGAGTAGCAGAGCAGCTGCAACCTCACAGGGATTTGCAAAATATTACCAAAAAAAAAATACCGAAAGATACAATGGGAAGTACGATAGTGGAAGCATTCAAAACTGACAGGAATTGAAGCTAGGAACACTAACAAAGCAGTAATTGCACCAAAAAAGTTTCTTTTAATTTTCTAATTGTTATTTAAGAATATATCATTTGTTGTGTTATTATGCCTGGACAATACGTTTTCTACTTACGATCACCGAACTTCAAAATCTCATGTAACTCCGTAGTGACGTAGCTGATGACGAGTTAGAATTTAAAAATTAAACGATACTTACCTTAAGTCGAAGTTTAAATTTAGTTTTACTTGTTATTAGCAGAAACGAAGGAGTAACATGCCCAACTTTAAATTTGGTACACCCACACCAACTCCTTCTTTCTTTGCATTTTTCGGCAATGGTTCGCGTTAAATACTAGTTGACGAGCAATGCGCATGCTTCTCCTGTTACTCTTTTGTTAATGCTGATGACGAGTATAATTACAATCAAACTTTGACTGAAGGTAAGTCTCGTTTAATTTTCGAATTATGCTTTACCTGTATGTACCTGCATGGCAAGCAATTGTAAAAGCAGTCTATTTCATCACCTTTTGTGAACTCGTCGTAAATAATGTCCACACAACCGAGATTGCTTACACAGTGTATAATAATAGTAGTTACACGTGGTCAATGCTTGAGTTCAATCATTTGATATATTAGTCAATCCTTTATTTGGCAGTGTAGCCCATTGGCAAAAATTACCGAACCAAATGTGAAGAAACTTTTCAAAATGTTTGCCAAGCAAAGGTTACTAGGTAACATAACTTTGTTTCTTTTTTAATTTGCACAGATACACTCTTTAAACAGTCTAAACCTCTTCGGTTGAATGATCATTAAATATTTAAAACTTTGACTATTATGTAAATAATATCATTGTGATACCAAAGCGCCTAATATCATTTCAAGGCGCTTTTAAATCCGTTAAATTTGTCTATGTATTTTAATCATGACTCGCGTGTATAAATTTAACTGTTATGAGTAAACACGAAATGTTGCATGTGTCCAAACTTGCCTATAGAATATATTAACTTATGTTCACCGTAACAAGCACAGGTAACAAGAAAGATTTAAGAGCAGAAGACTTAAATTGAAATAAAAGAATGCCTACCCTTAAATTTGTTACACCCACACCAACTCCTTCGTTCCTTGCATTTTTTGGCAATCGTTCGCGTTTAAAAGCAGGAGACTTTAATTATTTTATATTATATATTAAATGAAGAAATCTAATAAAGAAATAAAAGGATAGTATTAATTTCTCTGTCTAAGACAATAACAAGTATTGCTTTTTTTCTCAGACAATGTCTTCAACTTATCTCTGTCCTCAAATCCTCATGACGATACGGCCAACAACAAATAGCCAAATATCACGAGCGTTCGGTATCCTTCATATTACTGAGTATCTCTCAATAATGATGATAATTATTTTTGCTCTAACTGTCCAGTGCTTATATACTGTCTGGAAGCTTCTTATTAGTATGACGTAATTTTCTTTTTATATATATGATATAGGTGCTATATTTACATTACATGACGTAATGTCATTTGGAAACAGTTTATAGTTATCTGGATAACGAAAAAGAGTGATCATTTACAAAGCATAGCAGCTGCATCACTTTTTATTGACATGAAATCACACTTATTGTTTATGAACTTAAATTTTACAGTGCAAGAGAGTGCAGGAGAATTTCTAAAATGCTGATGGATGCGTTTGTATTATCTATATCTAAATATTTATTTGAAGAAATGATTAAACTAAAACAAGAATATGTCACCGGTATGTTAAAGCATAAAGGATAAATTTATATATATACTGATACAGTTAGGTGAAATGTGCAATTTATTTACAAAAATATGACTCAGTTTTTGTGAGAATAACAGGAGAGAAATACAATAAGGGTCATCAAAATCAAAGGAATCTGCTAACACATGACGTTCCCAATGTTTGTCTGGACTATCATTACATTTTGGTTGTTTAATCTAAATGTCTGATGAGACAAAAGAAAAGTATGGATAGTCCAGAACTGGACTCAACTGAACTCTAAAGTTTTATGGATAATAATTATTGTTAATTGCGTCTACACGATAAAGGATGAAATACAATTAACAAAGAATATATTTGCCTCAAAAAAACAAGGACTTCGTGCATGTGAATATCAGCTTTAATCTATTGTTATGCTCACGATGTGGTACTACTGATTTCAGGTAGTTTTTCTTCAAAAATGTTTTCCACATAATTAAATTATACTCGTCTTCAAACGGATAAAAATGTCCATTAGTGCTTTCCAGTGATCGAAAGTTTTATGGATAATAATTATTGTTTGTGCAGTTCAAATATATCAATTAGTGAAATGTTAGTGAAATTTATTTAGTAAAAATGTTGACGTGTTTAGAATATCGTTTTATATGAACTGTTAAGTGCAATGTCGCAAATCTTTCAAGTCTTCGGCTGTTGCAAAACGAAATTTATATATGTTAATGTATATGGGAGAGAAGGAAAAAACTGTTGTCATCATTATAAAACCATTTGCAAGCACATGGCGAATCCAGTGTTTTTCAAAATGTGCTTGATCTTGATGTCTTCTTGGCAAATCAGAATTCTTGTTGAAAGACAAACAAATATAAACTCCATTAAAAGACCAACAAATAATCGAAGCAAACTTGATCCATCAAAAGAATATGACTGAAACGTGTCCATGCTAAAAACCATCGTATATAACTGAGCAAGGATCAGCATTTCAAATTGAAATAGGACTTCTTGAATATAGATGTCAGCTTCTAATCGTCTGTTATGTTTTTCACAATATGGTACGGGTGTCATATTCAAACATTTTATAAGCCTTTTGAACAAATAGCTGCGACAGTAGCGTGTCAGCTGAAATAAGAGATGAATAATGTCATAAAACTAAACAAATACAATTCACATGAAAGTTTTTACATTCTATATACATAGTGATTATTTTTGATAAGTGACAGTAATAGAATTTATCTGACAGTTGGCTTGATCAATACTCCAGGTACCCGTAGGTTATACGGAATTTTAAATTCGCCTGTGTTTTTTTTTTCTTCGGTGTTGTAAATTGGCAATTCCGCAGTAGCCCACTCGTTGCCCCTAACAAATATCCACCTTAGCTATTCAGTATTTCTAAATTGCTATATTATTAAGTGTGACTTATCAAAATTTTGGCAACAATACACCAAAGTTTTCAAAGTTTACGATTATGTTTCATCAGAATGATTACGGACTACGATAATAACCCAAGACACGTATAAAAAAATTGATATAATCAATATAAAAAAATTAAGAAATTTTATTTCAATTTTTTTTTTATCAAATTTTATATTAAATTGATATAATCAATTGCTACAGGGTGAAAAATTCTCAAATACCAGCTTAAAGAGCGTCGTCAAAGTAAAGTAAGTCAAGCTTCAAGCTCAATTCCACCCTGCAAGTTATGTGGAAAACAAATGTCACTCACATTTACGTGACTTTATTTATGTTCAAGAGTCTGAAATTGTGCATTGTTGTGCGATCATTTATCTTTACATGTTTGTAGATAAATGTTAATCGTCCAGAAACGCGGTGTTGGTGCTACATTTATAACACTCCCTATCGTCTCACTCCTTATAAGCAGAAGCAAGAAAATTCATTTGGCTCGAGTAAATGCTTACGAAGTTTGTTATTGAGAATAGAACGCTAAAAAACACCGAAATGGCTACACTGTCCCTATTTATAATTGTGAAATATAATTTTTGTTCAATTCGACTTTGGCATGATATCAACTTTAAGAACTATTCTTAAAAGCAATAAAAACTGACCAGTGGAGTAACTGGACATTCTAGAGGGGGTGTGAAGTGTAAAATTTTCCAACAAACAAGCGAGTTCACTATAGCAAACGAGCGTGGCCACAATTCATTTTGCAAGCAAAAGTGGTGATTGTCTTATAAGTTTTATTGTAGCGTATGTATTTTAATCGTTTAATTACAAATTATCATGAAATCCATGGAAATATCGTAACTATAACTCCAAAATTATGTTTTTCGTTTATTCTGCGTTTTTTAAACATTTTATATTAACCAAAGAGTCGGCAATTTGGGAAGAATTGAAAAAAAAAACAAAGCAGAGGCAGTTGTAACTAAAAACTTTCAGTGAAAACTTTGTCGGGTATTACAATTGTCACTTATTGGTTAAACAGTTTTCTCCATGTTCCTTCATTTAAAAATGGTTTTTCAAGCTCCTTCAGTGCAATAGACGAAACATGTTCCCGATCGATGGCGATACATGCAAGGTTGGATATTTGATTTTCCCTCATTGTGCTACGCAAAAAGGTTTTTGACACGTTTTGAGCAGCTTAATGAACTTTCTTCGTGTGGGAAAAAAAAGGCAATGTTAAAATATGTCTTAGCAACGTTGTGATGCTTTGAAATTGACCTGTTAAGTTATTCTGCATCAAAATAGATAAAAGATCTCCTACATCACGTGGAACTGCTTGTGCTCATCAGACTCCTTTTAATCTTTTGTATTTAAAACAAAAGCCATAGAAAAACAATTTCTAGTTAGGGTAAGGGGTAGTGTTAGGGTTCGGTTCTGACTTAAAAAGTTAAAGTATTTTACTGCTGAGCATTTAGTATATTTAATTTCCTTCCGTATATTTATTAATTACTGAACACTTTCATCATTTGTGAATACTGTTCTATTTACACTACTACCTGCAGGTTAATGAAAGACGTACAACGTGAAATTTAAACACATTAACGTAACTATATATTGAGAAATGAATAACTTCCCAAATGTGTCACAGTTTGACAGAAAATCTGGTCTGATTTCTACAGTCTTCATACACATGACATTAAAATCAGTAATTTTGTGGTGCTTGCATCAATAATGACCATTTAAAATTCAGACAACAATCCAAAATTTTCCGACAGACATACATCCAAGCGTGTGGTGAGGCGGCTACTGCCCCACCTTTGGTTACGCCACTGAAACTGAGTAATGTCTGAATAGTTTCATATGATTCTAAACCTCATACAATAATTGTTAATTAAAAGTAGCTTTTGTAATATAACCAGAGAGGTCAGTCAACAACATCAAAAACAGTCCTTATCAGGACTTTATTAACCTGGACGATCATCATTTACAAACATATAACGATACTCCCGGGTTCAAACCATTTACTTTATAACCAGAGAGGTTGAAGAGAGAGTTACTTTTAACAAAAGCAATGAATTTTATTAGTGAGTTTTTTAAACGAGCAGCACTTTTTACATCCAAGGCTTTTCTTCCTCTAGTGGGAAGGCTTTAGAGTCTATTTATGCCCGTGGGCCTCTTCGATGGCCTAAAGTTTTACAAGTCGACTCTGGCTCGGAGTTCCGCTGGCTGTGCAAAAAGCGTGTGATAAAAATGATGTCACAATTCAACGGAGTAAGGTCGGGGTTCATAGGGATCAGGTGTTTGTAGAAAGATTTAACCGAACTTTGGCGGAGCGATTGTTCGGTTACCAGTATCATCGCGAGCTGTCTGAGCCCAGAACTCGGAACAAAGAATGGGTGTCAAGATTACCTGAGGTGGTTGAAGCGCTCAATAATGAAGCTATTTGTTTGACGTGCGATAAGCCCTCCCTTGCGATTCGAAAAAAGAGCGTTAAGGCAAAACCCGCTGCGCCGGCGCTTTGTCCAGTTGGTTTCAAAGAGCAACGCTTGCCATCGGATGATATGGTGCGGTATTTTTATGAGCCTGGTGTACTCGAGGGTGGCGAACGGCAATAGGCGACCGATCCTATCTGGAATGTGACCTCCCACGAGGTCGAGCGGACTGTGGTTGAGGGCGGAAAGCCCGTGTTGTATCATTTAAGCGATAATACAAAAGGTGATAAATATACTGCTTTTATAATTACTTGACATACAGGTACATACAGGTAAAGCATAATTTGAAAATTAAAGGAGATGTATCTTAAGTTAAAATTTGATTGTACTTTTACTCGTCATCAGCAGGAACGATTCTATATTCTTGAATAACAACTAAGCTAGAGAGAAACTAAGAGAAACTTAAGTGAAACTTTTCTGGTGCAAATACAGCTTTGCTTGTATTATTTTGCAAAGGTGCCATCGTTTGACCAGCCCGCAGAGTTCATTATTTCCGATAGCCTTGTCCTCGTCACAAATCCATGTAAGGTTGCAGCTGCTCTGCTACTCTGCGGTGTGTAGGTCTTCGAGTTTATTCCAGCAGCCTGAAGACTCCCTTAATCCAACGTGCAACCGTATCTTTGGAGGCTGGATTATGTAGTCTTATAAAGCTAATCAATAGTTGTGAGCTACTTCCACGTATCTCGGCCGTACGCAAAATGTGTGATTCTAAATGCTAAATAATACATAGATCCTTGTCAGTGTCTTTTATTAGTTTGATTGGTTTCTGATGGGTTCCCGGTCTTGTGTGTTTTCATTTATTTTCAATGGTGAAGACGTATTTTTTCTGGTAGTTTTTATATCAAGCTTATAAATGGTCTAACAACTTTGTCCCGTTATATGTGCCAACAACATAACCAGTTTATAAGTTAGTTGTTTGAGTGATAATATTGGTTCAGGGAAATTGATTTCAGGTAGTTTAAGACTTTCCAAACATCCCATATTTCTTTATATTTCGATGACACTGGTTTAATTTCAAACACACCTTTAACAAATCGTCGCACCATCCCATTTTCTCCAATTGATGTCCCATCATTGGTTGCGATTATTACCAACAAAGCTGATCTTGCAGTGTTAATTGCACTGTAATGAAGAACTTTTTCAAACAAATGCGCGAGGAAATCGATCCCTTGTTCTGACGTTGTATTGAAGCAGTTAATGTGTCTATCTTCGCAGAATCTCTTGCTCTTGGAGAGATATGTGTAGCATTGTTTTCTGGACCATCCCTTCAACATGCAATGATGACGTCTTTTGCTGTGGTTGAGATGTTGTAACAAAGCTGATCTTGCAGTGTTAATTGTGCTGTAACGAATACCTTTTTCAAATAAATGGTCAAGGAAATCGATCCCTTGTTCTAACGTTGCATTGAAGCAGTTAATGTGTCTTTCTTCGCAGGATCTCTTCCACTTGGAGAGATATGTGTAATATTGTTTCTGGACCATCCCTCCAACATGCAATAATGACGTCTTTGGCGAATGGCATTTAATTTCATGAGTGCAATGAAAAATAATTTTGGCATTTAATGAAAAATACTTTTGGCATTTAATTTCATGAGTATATTGGCTGACATTTACTTTGGCTTAAAAGCATGGCGTCCGTATGACGTAGTTAGAAATGATTATATTTATCTAGTCCCCAACTGCACAACGTAGCTGAGCAACTAACTATTCAAAGTTATTAGATTTTTACATTTACAATAAAACATTTTTGTTTGCAAATTTTGATGTCAAGTACTTGAAATGTAATAAAATAGTGTGATTTATATCTTGTGATATATTTTCTGATATACAAATCCTGTTATTTTCCTATTTTGACGAAAGGCATGGACGGATCAAACTAGCTATATATAAGAAAAAAAAATACTCCAATTCATTGATTGGTTAACTTTCATTCTTTAGAAATTCATAACCAAGGACATTTTTACAAAGTTATTTCGAATTTAAAATTAGCGGAGAGATAAGAAGAGAAAATAACAAATTGGAACAGACATCATGTAAAGCAAATAAATATCACTTATTTTGTTTTCAAAAATTACTTTGCTCTTGTGATGTCGTTTTTATCGATTTTTAGAGCAATAAGTTATCAAAAGTAAGTATAATTGCAAAGCCATTTGGGATTGCAATACTTTTTGGGCTTGCAACAAAACAACTGATTCTCTACACAATACACAATAATAACTAAAACAATTCTGATGCTACAAAAAGATTTTGTAAATGTAATGACATTAAAATGTTGATTTTACTTGTGTTTAACTCCTTTTGATTTTATAAATATGAGTATATACAGTCTGAGGCTTAAGAGGACACCCCTCCCACTATTGTATGCACAGGAATTTATATAACATTCCAGATTATCTGGGTGGAGGGGGTTATTACATTAAATGTTGTTTTAAAATTTGCAGTGCTTTATAATCATAGCGGTACTTTTGAGCTCAATATTTGCTCCATGTTTTACTGACAATAGTTGAAACTAAACAACTAAAAAAATCTTTTACAAAGAATGATAACACTGACATCAATTATATATCTGGCTTGGCTCAAATAATACAAGAAAATTCATACATTGTGCTTTAGTTTAGTCCATCTCAGTTTGTAGATATGCATTGTTCATCTAACACTCTAGTTACTGTGCTAAGTTAAGGAGACTGAAATGCAGAACAAATATATTTTTCTTTTGTTGATGATGATTTAACAGGACGTAAAAAATGACAACCATAAATAACTACGTGTTAATTGTCAGTCAACAATGACAAAAAAGTAAAGTGAAGTATTTGCTATGTGCGTTAAGTTTGCATTTAAATTAATATTAGTAAATAGCAACTACGATGATTATAAAAAATACCATGGTATGTCAACATTGTCTGATCAGTCGGAAGTATAAAGAAAAGTTTAATATATTGGTTGTGTGTGCGACGTTTATGCTCTTCAAATAACGTTTGTGAGATTTTCTAAGGATGTCGCGCCACTTTGTTCTTTTGCAACTAGCAAGAAACTTTGCACGCGATACACACATGATGCACGCATTTTTTATGTACTGTAAACGTGTATCACTAAAAATATGTTGATGACTACAGGACTACCGCTAAGGCTGTCGATACGTCATTCAACAGATGTTAAATTGCTCTTCTTCTTAGAACTCTGCTATAATCTGAACCCTCTACAATTACAAACATCTAACGGCAAACCCGATTTTAAATCCCCTGTCTTAAAAGCTTATCTCTGAGTCAGTTCAAATTTAGTGAGCACGCAACATTGCCTAGACGTATATCCTCAAATGTTTTTAAGATGTTAAGTATTTTTAATAATTTCTACACAAAAGTTGTCTGAGTATACATACTGATGAGAATTAAAGATTAAAAGTTCAATATTGGCTTAATTGCTTGTGAAAAAATGCACAGATGACTTATTCTCAACCCAATAAGAACTTCTTTTTTCTTACCAGCAGGTGATTCTAGAAAATGCTAAATACAAATTCAATTACAGAATATCACATAGCGCCAAAACTTAAAAGAATTTATTGAAATTGTTTAATATAAACGCCTTAAATCGTTATATACTAACACGCAAATGAGCAGTATATAACGATTGTAGAATAACTAATTCGCTACAAATTCCAAATCATGCGAAAATGGTAAGGAAAGTGCGCATTATCTTTCGTACTTTTGTTTCTGAATTTTGTATTTCTTGTGATTGTTAATAAGATAATACTTCCTCACAAGATGTTGAAATAAAGGAAACGTTAACTGCATTAATTTCAAACAACATTGACTTTGCAGAATTGTCAAATCTTTATTGATTTCCAGCGACAAGAATGAGAACGCTACATGGAACTCCAACTAAGTAAACACCTCATCAAATTCCTACGAAATATCAAAATGTAAGAAAAGCAACTCAAAAATCTAAAATAATGTTTTTGAAACGGTGAAATACATTCGTTGTTGTCAGAACAAAACTTGTCTATGCATGTAAAGTTTACAATTAAAGGTAAGTTGACAACGATTATAAATGAGACAATAGTTGGCATTTCTGCTGACTTGAAAGAATGCACAGATGACTGATGATCCAATAATTCGGTTTATTTTTGACAGCAGGTAACTGCATAGTTACTAAATATAAAATACAGCACACAATATTGCAAAGCATTAAAAATGAAAGGAATTTTCTATTAATTATCATCAAAAATGTCTAGATTTCATTTGATATTGAAGGTTAAAAACAACGCCATCAGGCTGATATAAAACCTAACATTAATAAATGGATTTGATTGTAAAGCTGGATTTGATTATAAAGATTTGATTCAATGTTGCGTGAATCCAATAATCAATCTTTTACCACCCATCGATTAGTAAGAAATATTTTCAAGCCAATGTAATTGTCGTGAAAGGTGATATGAAATTTAAATTGGAAGCTATGGTTCATTTTGCCTAACCTTGGATCACAGAATTACTGCTTCAAGGGCTCATGTCATACAACATAACTTCAATAACCTCACAAGCAAAATGTTATTGGAGCAGTTAATACACTCTTGGGTTCTGCCTTTATGTTCTTGGATAGCTGAATGTTGTGTTTATTGTAAATGTGATAAGCAGAGTTCCTCGCAAGATAATGAAAATATGAACATCACATCATACTCCAATATAGGGAATGCTACATCGGATTCTAACGACGATAACACCACGTCAAACTCCAATATAAGGAATGCTACATCTGATTCTAATGACGATAACACCACGTCAAACTCTAATATAAGGAATGCTACATCTGATTCTAATGACGATAACACCACATCAAATTCCAATGATGAAAACGAATCATTGAAATTTAAAATATGTTCAATCTTATGCTCATCTGTTGAAACAACTAGTTGTTTACTCTCCTTTGCCGTCTTAATCACTGTGATTTGTGGACAAATTGTTTATTTGAACCAGCTTACAACCGAGCGATGTGTGGGTACTGAACACCTTTTAACCAATTATTCAACAACAACTTCTGTTCTTCTATCACGATTAACAGGAGAAGTATTCATAGTCTTCTTCCTTAATTTATGGTACCCTTTCACTATGGTGTTGCTGTTGGGATGGGAAAAAGCTCACATAAACAATCTTATTATTTGTGTTATCACGAGTATTATTGCTGTGCTTTACAAGGTATGCTTGTACATAATCGTTGATGGTTATATTACTGGATGGTGGAAAAGATTAATTTCAACTGGTGTAATGTTAATTGGCATCATCATTACTTGTCTTTGTAATACATCATATCAGGCATCGTCAAAAGTTAATAAAATTCGGAATCTTCGGAAAAATATGTTGTTAACAATTGGACTGATTTTTTGTTCTGCTACACTGTTCACTTTTGTTTATGGAGAACTTTTTGTCCCCTGGTTTAATAATCAGTCAAGTGACGTTTCAAAGATCTTGGTTGCCGCCATGGTTCCTTTAACAGGAAATATTCCAGTGGCCATAAGTAAATACATAGTGCTTGTTCCTCTTAAAAATATCATCGAGGTTAATCCTTCACGATCATATATTTTGGTGTATTTTAATCACGTGGTACCCATTGCTCTTTATCGTGTCATGCAATCTGATGTAAAACATTTCGAGTACTTTATACTGTTTTCTTTTTTACAAGGACTTATCGATAATGTTACCAAGGTGAGTACAAAATACTATTTTGTTTGCGATGATGTTTACCAACCGTACTAAACTAAAACGAAATTGTTTTGCTTGCGACGAGAAAAGGAAAGTGTGTTAATTGATTTAGAGAGGAATAAAAGCGTTGTATGTAAAAAATGAAGCTCGTTTAAAAACCTCACTGATAAATTCATTAATTTTGTTAAAGGCGAATTTCCGACAACCATCCAAAAAATTTTGCAAGCACCCCAAAATGTTAATGTCATGTGTATTAAGATTGCATAAATCAGACCAGATTTTCTGTCAGACTGTGACACATTTCGGAAGTTATGCATTTCTCAATATATAGTTAGGTTAATGTGTTTAAATTTCACGTTGTACGTCTTTCATTAACCTGCAGCTAGTAGTGTAAATAGAACAGTACTCACAAATGATGAAAGTGTTCAGTAATTAATAAATATACGAAAGGAAATTCAATATACTAAATGCTCAGCAGTAAAATACTTTAACTTTTAATGTCAGAACCGAACCTTAACACTACCACTTACCTTAAGTAGAAATTGATTTTCTATGGCTATTGTTTTAAATACAAAAGATTAAAAGGAGTCTGATGAGCATGAGACAGTTCCACGCGATGTAGGAGATCTTTTATATTTTAGACGCAGAAGAAATCGACAGGTCAATTTCAAAACATCACAACATTGCTAAGACATATTTTAACATTGTCTTTTTTCCGCATACGAAGAAAGGTCATTCAGTTGCTCAAAACTTGTCAAAACCTATTTATGTGTAGCACAATGAGGGAAAAATGACTATCCGACCTTGAATGTATCGCTGATTAAGCTGGTATTTGAGAATTTTTAACCCTGTAGCAATTGATTATATCAAATTTGATATAAAATTTGACAAAAATTTGAAATAAAATTTGTTAAATTTTTTATTTTGATTATATCAAATTTTTATATGTGTCTTGCAGGCGGATCTAGGATTTTTCAAACATCAGTCATAAAACGTCGGAGACGCTCCGCACCTGGGGGGGATCTGAGGCATTTTTTCCCTAAGAAATTTTGAATTTCAGAGCCTTGAAAATTCCGTTTTCGGCGTTTTAGAGCAATACAAAATGTATTTTGTGTGCATCGTTAATGTGTAATATCAACACTTTTCTGTTACATTTTTTTCAAAAAAAAAATGAAGTTGACAATACTTGAATGTTTTGCCAAATATATGGTTCATTAGCATTTTCTATTAACGTAAAATTTATTTTACAATAATGCTATTCCAAAACAGACATAGTCTTTAAAAATTTCTACTAAGTTGTCAGGCATTGACCCCCCTAGAGACCCGCATTCAAACCTCTATGTAATGAGTTAAGTTAGAAATTTCGTACTACAAGGGACAGTTCATAGATATAGAAAAGCTCAGACTTCAAACCATGCAAGTTTATTGTAACCCTTTACCAATCTCCACATACAGTGCAAAGAAATACACCATTCGAGAAAAAACTCAAAATTTTTTTCTGTCAAAGATTAACAAAGATTTTTCTGTCAAACATTAAAGACAACTTCGGTTGTCCTTTACTTACGATTTTAGATGTAAATTTCTGCTGACAAAACTCAAAACAATGTTGGCTTTCTTTTGAACATAAATGACTGAAATTTGCCAAGCATTTACAATTTTTCCATAAATTTTTCACCCTCTTGAAAAAATTCACAGTTTGGACAGCAGCATTCATGTCAATATATGAATTTGTAAAAGATTTCCATAAATTCCATCTGATTGTAGTTTAGTTTCTATCATGCTTAAGAGATTTAGAATGAAACGATCAAACATTCAATTCAGACTGTGAGCTTGACTATATTAGTTCAGTTGGCTATCAGTCGAAATTGGTCAATTCAATCACAGTAAGACAAAAATTTAAACAAACCAATTACACGATAGCATTTGGACTCCCTTATAGGTCCGGCTACCACGCTTATCGGTTGAGATTATTCCAGATCGTCCACTGATCTGGCTATTGACCAATGAAATGGCTTAAATAAGCGTTCTTGAACTCCGTTATCGGTCGAACCAGTCGAGCCATCCCGTTTATCATGTCAGCCAGTTAATACAATTCAAGATATGTTTTTAATTAATGATCTGTTTACTGAGGTGGTATTTGTATAAGTTTATATATATAAAACAGAATTTTGACGATGAAAAGGAAAAGATTACAGAACAAAAATTTAACGATCAAAAAAATTGTAATCATTAAATTTGATAAATAATTTTTGAACTATAAACATATGTCGCGTGACTGATTTAACATACCCTAGATCCGCCCCTGGCATCTTGGGTTATTATCGTAGTTGCCAAAATTTCGATAAGTCACATTTATTAATATATCAATTTAGCAATACTGAATAGTTAAGGTGGATATTTGTTACAGGCAACGAGTGGGCTACTGCTGAATTGCCAATTTACGACACCGAAGAAAAATAGAAAAAACACAGGCGAATTTAATATTCCGTATAACCTACGGGTACCTGGAGTAATAATCTAGCCCACTGTCAGATAAATTCTATTACTGTCACTTATCAAAAATAATCAATATGTATGTAGAATGTAAAAACTTTCATGTGAATTGTATTTGTTTAGTGTTATAACATTATTCATCTCTTATTTCAGCTGACACGCAAATATCGCAGCTATTTGTTCGAAAGGTTTTTAAAATGTTGGAAGATAACACCCGTACCATATTGTGAAAAACATAACAGACGATTAGAAGCTGACATCTACATTCAAGAAATACTATTTCAATTTGAAATGCTGATCCTTGCTCAGTTATATACGATCTTTTATCGCATGGACACGTTCCAGTCATATTCTTTTGATGGATCAAGTTTGCTTCGATTATTTGTTGGTCTTTTAATGGAGTTTATATTTGCTTGTCTTTCAATAAGAATTCTGATTTGGCAAGAAGGCATCAAGATCAAGAACATTTTGAAAAGACACTGGACTCGCCATGTGCTTGCAAATGGTCTGATAACGATGACAACAGTTTTGTACTTCTCTCCCATCATCATTAACATATATAAATTTCGTTTTGCAACAGCCGATGACGTGAAAGATTTGCGACATTGCACTTAACAGTTCATATAAAACGATATTCTAAACACGTCAACATTTTTACAAAATAAATTTCACTAAAATTTCACTAATTGATTTATTTGAACTGCACAAACAATAATTATCATTCATAAAACTTTCGATCACTGGAAAGCACTAATGGACATTTTTATCCGTTTGAAGATATGTATTATTTAAATTTGTGGAAAAACATTTTTGAAGAAAAACCACATGAAATCAGTAGTACCACATAACAATAATTTAAAGCTGATATTCACATGCACGAAGTCCTTGTTTTTTTGAGGCAAATATATTCTTTGTTAAATGTATTTCATCCTTTATTGTGTAGACGCAATTAACGGGGATTTTGAAAAGAGTTTGAATTCTTTACAATAGATGTACTCGAGCCACTTCTGGTCTTTGTTTTTCTTTGTCTCATCAGAGCTTCAGATTAAACAACGAAAATTTAAGAATAATCCAGACAAACATTGGGAAAGTCATGTGTTAACAGATTCCTTTGATTTTGATGACCCTAATTATATTTCTCTCCTTTCATTCTCACAAAAATTGAATCATATTTTTGTAAATAAATTGCACATTTCACCTAGCTGAATCAATATGTATAGAAATTGATCTTTTATGCTTTAACATACCAGTGATATATTCTTGCTTCATTTTAAGCATTTGTTCATATAAATATTTAGATATAGATAATACGAACGCATCCAATAGCATATTAGAATTTCTCATAAACTCTCTTGCACTGTAAAGTTTAAATTCAAAAACAACAAATGTGATTTCATGTCAATAAAAAGTGATGCAGCTGCTATGCTTTGTAAATTATCACTCTTTTTCGTTATTGAGATAATTATATACTATTTCCAAATGACATTACGTCATGTAATGTCATTATAGCAACTGTATCATATATATAAAAAGAAAATTACGTCATACTTATAACTAGCTTCCAGACAGTATATAAGCACTGAACAGTTTGAGCGAGGATTATTATCATCATTATTGAGAGATATTCAGTAATACGAAGGATACCGACGCTCGTGATATTTGGCTCTTTGTTGTTGGCCGTATCGTCATGTGGATTTGAGGACAGAGATAAGTTGAAGACATTGTCTGAGAAAAAAAGCAATATTTGTTATTGTTGTAGACAGATAAGTTACTACTATCCTTTTATTTCTTTATTAGATTTCTTCATTTAATAAATAATATAAAATAATTAATGTCTCCAGCTTTTAAACGCGAACGATTGCCGAAAAATGCAAGGAACGAAGGAGTTGGTGTGGGTGTACCAAATTTAAGGGTGCGCATTCTACACCTATGTTTCTGCTGATAACGAGTAAAATTATAATTAAACTTAGACCTAAGCTAAGTCTCGTTTAATTTGTAAATTCTAACTCGTCATCAGCTACGTCACTACGGAGTTACATGAGATTTGAAGTTCGGTGATCGTAAGTAGAAAATTTATTGTCCAGGCATACTAACACAAGAAATGATATACTCTTGAATAACAACTAAGCTAGAAAGAAACTAAGAGAAACTTAAAAGAAACATTTTTTGGTGCAAATACTGCTTTGCTATTGTTCCTAACTTCAGTTCCTGGCAGTTTGGAATGCTTGCACTATCGTACTTCCCTAGAGTTCATTGTTTCGGATAGCCTTATCCCGTCACAAATCCATGTGAGCTTGCAGCTGCTCTGCTACTACGCGGTGTGTAGATCTTTGAGTTTATTCCAGCAGCCTGGAGACTCCTTTAATCCAACGTGCAACCGTATCTTTGGAGGCTGGATTATGTAGTCTTATAAAGCTAATCAATAGTTGTGAGCTACATCTACGTATCTCGGCCGTACGCAAAATGTATGATCCTAAATGCTGTATAATATATAGATCCTTGTCAGTGTAGGTTATTAGTTTGATTGGTTTCTGATTGGTTCCCGGTCTTGTGTGTTTTGATTTACTTTCAATGGTGAAGACGTATTTTTCCTGGTAGTTTTTATATCAAGCTTATAAATGGTCTTACAGCTTTGTGCCATTATAAGTGGCAAAAACCTAACTAGTTTATGAGTTAGTTGTTTGAGCGATAATTCTTGGGTCAGAGAAATCGAGTTCAGGTAGTTTAAGACCTTCCAAACGTCCAATATTTCTTTATATTTCGGCAACAGTGGTTTAATTTCAAACACACCTTTAACAAATTTTCCAGCCCAATTTTCTACAAATGATCTCCCATCATTGGTTGCAATTATTAACGACAAAGCTGATCTTGCAGTGTTGCACTGTAACGAAGAACTTTTTCAAACAAATGGGTGAGGAAAGCCATCCCTTGTTCTAACGTTGCATTGAAGCAGTTAATGTGTCTTTCTTCGCAGAATCTCTTCCACTTGGAGAAATATGTGTAGTATTGTTTTTCTGGACCATCCCTTCAACATGCAATGATGACGTCTTTTGCTGTGGTTGAGATATTGTAACAAAGCTGATCTTGCAGTGTTAATTGCACTGTAACGAAGACTTTTTTCAAAAAAATGGGCGAAGAAATCGATCTCTTGTTCTAACGTTGCATTGAAGCAGTTAATGTTTCTTTTTGCGCAGAATCTCTTCCAATTGGAGAGATATGTGTAGTATTGTTTTATGGACCATCCCTCCGACATGCAATAATGACGTCTTTTGCTGTGGTTGAGATGTTGTAACATTCTATCTTCGTCCTGATAATAGAAATACTAGCAAACGCAGTTTCTTGTATAAAGGGTGTTGTTCCTCAAGGAGGTCGATAAGAAGAGGCAGTCCTATCTTCTTGAAAAATTATCGGTCTGCCCATGCATACCTCCGTAGCCTTGGCGTACCAAATTGGAGTAGGCCAATCCGGTAGAACGCAAACTCCGATGGCCTTCATTGTCCTCCATAATTTTTCGTAACACAATTGGTATGACACTTATGGGTAGAACCATAAAATTTCAAAGTCCCCCATTGTGCTATTAATGCATCTATTCTTTCAACTTCCGGGTCTGACTTCAGTGATGCAAACCGTCTGAACTCTTTGTTAATTCTAGTGGCAATTATGTCTATTTCTGATGTGAATTTAAGCTCGGCTAAAGACATTTGTAAATCAAACAGAATTCAACATCCACTCTGCACCTACATTAACATTTCTAGATTCTTTTTTGCCTTGTATATTAGTTGTCCCTGGGATGTGTGCTGCTGAAATCCAGATGTTTCGTGTAATGCACCACTCCCAAATATTTTTACCTATGTTGTTATAGACCTCAGAGTTACATGTGCCCATATGGTTTAGAGTTGGGCTACTAGTGTAAAACCGTCCTGCTGTTAAGTTAGTTAACTAGCTTGAGAAAGCTTGAGCATTTTTGCGTTAATTAATATTCGCGATACTTAACCGACATGTTTATATATACACCTAATTTTGAAAAAGTTAACACGCTGCAATATACTTGTGTTTAGTATCGTCTTAAAGATCTTGTTCTACAGATTACAAAATAGTGTTATTAACCTGGCCCAAATTTGTGGAAATATTCTACAGCTTGAGAAAGCTAGAGCCTTTTTGCGTTAATTAATATTTGCGGTACTTAACTGACATGTTTATATATGCCTAATTTTGAAGACATTAACACGCTGCAATATACTTGTGTTTACTATCGTCTTAAAGATCTAGTTCTGAGGATTACAAATATGGTTTTATTATCTTGGTACAAATTTGTGAAGGAGTTCTACAGCATATGAAAGAGTTTGCCTTTTTGGTTTAATTATTTTGTGCGTTATTTAAATGAGATGTAATTATGTCGGATTTTGAAGTAGTGATAAACACGCTGCAATCATTTTTCATTGGTACCATTTTAAAGATGGGATTCTGAAGGATAAAGTATTCACAGCAAAAATGATTTTCAGTGCACGATCGTTTGGACTTCACTCTTCTCAATAAGCACAGTCACGTGACATGAAATGAGCCTTTTTGCGTCTTGTAAATGCAGAATAGTTTAGATAGTTATTAGGCCCACATGTGTGCATTGCTTCACTTTGTTTTTAAGGCTATTGCACTATTTTTGAGGGATTAGCTCGATAAAAATTTGCGTGTATCCATACCATAGGCAACATATGCCTCAGTTGCATTAAATTATGTAATAATTCAATTATTAATAAATGCATTTAAGTGGCTATATGCCAATAAATATATTGATAATGTACATTCTATCGGGGATGATTTATGCAAATAGTTTTGATTTGGTTAATGCATTTCCATAAATCTGGCACTGGCAGTAATTGTATTTTTCTACTTCATTTTTAATATGAAATGTCTAAATGTCCAAGAAACGTTGTTTTTTTTTCATATTATTTACATATTTGGCTATTTATGTCCTATCAGTTTTAGTCAATTCATCTTTTGAGCGTAACGTCAGTGAACATTGATTATGGAGACATTGTATCGTAGCACATTTATCAACTGCGTTAGCTATTTCTTTTCTTTGTTCTTCTTGGCGGCGCTTCCAGCATTCCTGTTGGGGAATGGGGGAGGAGGGAAGGTCATTAGGAACCTCACACCTTTTTTGTAGCATGTGACAGGGATTTAAAAACGCGTAAACTTGGAAGCCTCACATTCTGTATAAATAGGACGCATGCTTATAGCCTTTAAAATAAAAGACAACATTTACGTCGAATAGATGTTGCATTTCTTTGCTGTAATGTGAGGAGGGGGTGGCAGTGGCAGGTGGAACTTGAGTCTACAAATATAAGGTTCATGCAAGTTAAAATCAGATGCTCATGTGTTCAGAGAATATTCTAACCATTCTAGGTACCCAAATATAAATCTTTATATAAATCTCTTTATTTTTTGATTTTTACACATAACGTAATGGTTGAATTGTAAATATTTCAATATTGTTGTAATCATCAATATCGCCTTTTTTTATTTTAAACATATTTAATTATTAATATCTTGAAATAGTTTATTACAGCACGTAATAATGATGGTACTATTTGCTTTGTTCTAATCCAGACCATACTTCAAATTAAATCGATGTTTCTTTTGATGCACTCAATTTAATATAATACGCTTGTTTGCATTTTTTAGTTATCAAATGCTGAAGATATTTTAGCTAGCCATGATAATAATTATAATGATAATGCGCTTCACCCGTCGTCGTGTCGCGAGGTTTTGCCATTTTTAGAGTCCCGACCATTTAACACTCATAGTAGTGAATGTACAGGAAACGACCATTATGAATTTGGCCAATCAGTGACTGACAGTAATGAGGCTAGCGAGGAATTCGACATGGTTACTACCCAGAAGCATTTCACTGAAGATATTCATTACACTAAAGAAAGTGAACATGGAGATGCATCTTCTATTAAACAAGATTCAAAAAAAGAAGCTTCAAGCAGACACACCAACAATGTGGTCAAAACCTTAGCACAATCCAATAAAGAAAACAAATGCATAAAACGTAGAAGATGCATACCAAAAGTCCATGCTCCAGAAAGGAACAACCAAAAACTATGGTGTTTCTGTCAAGAAGAAAATGCTGGAAGCTATATTTTGTGCGATGAAAAGAAAGAAGATTATCTGGAGTTTTATCATCCAGAATGCGTTGGTTTACCTCATCTTAAAACAAAGAAACAACTTGAAAAATACAGTAATAATATAGACGGCAAATCTTATATCTGTCCCATTTGTGCTAGCAAAAAATCCCGCAATGAATACCGTCCACAAGAACTGCTGTCACTTTCAAACAAAGAAACTGATGACAATGATCCAATGCACGTTTTTGGCACAAATGATATTCCCGACGAGGGTGCCCTGGAGTCACATGGAGAAATGGAAGACGTGGTCGATAATAGTGAACTCTTACATTCTTCTTCACCGTGCATTGATGAAAAAGATGAAGATATATGTACTGCAGATCGTGTATCTTACAGCATGGAAAGTAGTCCGGCGATTGAGAAAGTCATTTATCACTCTGACGAATTTCAAAAATGTCATTCCTATAATTTTTCAAGCAAATGGCGCGATGATTATAATGATGAAAAAGTATCATCTCCCTCAACATTTTTTGCAAAACTTGACAATATTGATAAAAGGCCTTCTACTTGTGAAAGTGATTCTAGCGAGGGAGCCGATGAAAAAATTAGAAGACGAAGCTAATATGGATAATATCTGTACTCATGCAACATCTTCACCATTCAGCGATGTTGAATCGTATGAGATGTCTTCCAAGGAAAAGAACGTTGTCAAAACATATGCTAATATTACCCCGAACAATAATTGCCACACATCAACCTATTGCTCCGATGAGCACGAAACTTTCCAGAGAATGATGGACTGCCCATATTTGCCACGACCAAATACATTCTTTATAGCCGATGTTTGTAGGTCTGAAACATTTTTTTTGAGTGAAGCAGAGTGGTCAAGGATCAGACCTACCACGGAAAAACCAAACACTCTTCGGTGTCCATGGACGGATATCATGATGGATCACATGAAAATATCCAACGCCTACTGCACTTCCAATTCGAAAGGCATTTCATCGCTAAGACAAAATCGAGGAAAAGAAATACGCCGATTGTGTTTAATGCTACAGGTCACTGCATCTTTGCCGATTGTTCCTGCAAGTTTGTATTGCAAATCTTTCGCAAAGACTTTCTTTCCAAGAAAGTTACCGTAACTTATGACGGATCTGTGAAACACGCTGCTGGAGAGCGCCAGTCTAGGTTCATAAAGAGTGACAAACGTAAGCAACTGGCAAATCAATTTCACAAAGGACCTGGCCAAATTTCAAAAGTGTACCAAGAAATCAAAGAGGGATTATCGGTAAATGCAAAGGCAGCTGGAAATAGAAATGAATGTGGTAAAATTCCAGAGACTGTGAGAAAAATTGCCAGTAAAGGAAGACAACAAACTCAGCTGGACAAAGACGTCATGAATTCCTTAAAGATGGCTAGGGATGATTTAATTCAGCGAGAAAAACAGCGCGAGATGCCTCCCAAACAGATTGAAGGATTTGTTCAAGCAATTTCATTTTGTCTACCTTGGGTATATATGTGGAATGAAGATCCGGTGCGTCTTTGGCATTACTTATGCATGAAAGATATTGCATACATGGACGCAACCGGAACGATTGTGCAAGATTTCATGGGCAAAAGAGTACTTTATTATGCAATTACTGCTCGACACCCAAAAAAAGGAAATCCATCATTGCCAATTGCCGAAATGATAACGAATGATCACAGGGCTCAAAGCACACGTTCCTTTATTGAGAGGTTTCGTCGAGATGAGGCAAACGTTTTCGAATGAAACGTTCGAATACCACGTCAGTTAAATACAGATTACTCAAAGGCGTTGATATTGGCTACTCTGAAAGAGTTCAACGGAGAAACCTTTGCTCAGTTTTTACTTCGACCATTCAGGATTGTGCAGAGGATGGCATTCAACGAAGATTTTGCATTTATGGTTTTACATGCTGGCTGCAGTCATTTCATGAACATAATTCAAAGGCGTTTGAAATCAATTATGCGTATCGAAGTCAGTACGGCAACGAGGTGTGGTATCGCGTTAACATGTATTGTGTGTCGCTGTTGGTAAACTCTAAAATCCAAGAAGAATTTGACTATATTCTTCTACCTGTTGCAATTTGCTTGCTTCATAAGACTCAAAATGATGAAGTCTAAAACGCGTTCAGCACCTTATGGAAATCGATCCATGCAATGGAGGAACGATAACAAATCCTTGAACATGTTGAAGTGCATGGAGTCTTTTCAAATGCAGGCAATGATGATGCCGATCTTACTGAAACAGAAAGAAATGCAACTCAAAATCCATTCAAAAACCATTACGATAGCTTGCTACGAAATGTCAAAGAAAGAGCGATGGAAGATGCAAAACATAGCAAGGGGGGGAAAAGAATCCATCGACACCAAAAACTAATGCTAAAGTTGGACAATTCCAGCAATCACCGGCAATTCCGTTAAGCGAAACTCCAGAATTCAATAAATGTACACAGAGTAGACGCCGTCATCATTCTTAAATTCTTTTCATAAAGGTAGTAAGAAAAAGAGAGCTTCTAAAAATCACCCTAACACGTTTTTAACAAAAGAGGCAGCTAAATTGTGGCTAGATATGTCGGCAGAGGACAAGTTCCGCTTCAAGGATACAGGAATGTTGAAGAAAAACAAACAAAGTAAAGACAGCGAGCGTACGAAATCCAGCAAATCCATTGGTGCGTCGCAGAAATTACAAGAGGTTTAATCAACATAGGTAACGATTGCTGGTTGAACAGTCTTCTGCAATGTTTGCATGCATTAAAAGTTGAATACCCCGAAACAACGACAAAACGTTATCCAACTGTAGCGAAAGTACTGAATAAAATCTTGCGAATATTAAAAAACACGAATGACAAACTATTGTATCCACAACAGCTGCACGACATTTTTCATATGTATTTTGGTTATGTGAGTGGCCAACAACATGATATTCACGAGAGTTTTATTGTTTTGCATGAACATTGTGACGCAGGCTCCTTTAGAGGAACGTACAAATATAGAAAAATTTGTGATGTCTGTGGAAAAACTCGGTTGCATGATGAGGAAACCTTCACGACGCTTTTTGCTTCCGTTGACAATGCCAACAAAACCTTTACAGAAAAAATCAAAAAGAGTTTAGTCGATTCTGTATTTACAGACTGTAGCACATGCAATGTGAGGACGAGTCACGTTCGCATAGGTGAACTCAAAACACTGCCTAAAAGTTTATGCCTTGGTTTCAAAAGATTTGTTTCAAATGGATCAGGAGTTACGAAGAGTTGTCAGAGAGTTCCACTACCATTAAAATTAACATTGCAGAATGATGGTGCATCGGCCGCTTATCAATTATCCTCATGTGCATTGCATTACGGCTCAGGTATTATGTGGGCCATGACACAGCTCTAATATTCAAAGATGGAAGAGTTTAAGGTCGACGATACATTCGTCTCTGATATGTCAAAAAAATGGAAGCAAAAAGTGTCAACTTATGCATACATAGCCTTTTACTCCGCTGAAAATTTTACTGACAAAGATTATGAAAACGAGCGACAGTCGTCAACCCAACTCAGCGATGATAGTGACGATGAGGACATACCCCGAAGTACAAGCTCATCAAATTTTATAGGCTCTGTTCATAGCATAAGTGCGCGAACCACACAAACGAATAGCAGAGATGCCCAATCAAAGGTCGATAGTTTGCCTCCATCAAGTGCACAAAAACATATGGAAATGTGTAAGGTATTTTACTCACTTTGTGATCTCAATATAAGAAATGAACGTGTTGCTTCATTTGAAACACACGGATACAATCTTCTGGGAAAAGATATCAAAACTCTTGAACCTTTGGAAAAGGGTTTTTCAAACCATACATATGTTCTTTCCAACCCTGGATGGCTCAATGATGAGATTATAAATTGTTACCTTCTATTGCTAACAAAAAACACGGAAAAGTTTGGATTGCGTAGTTTTGCATTCACGACGCAATTCATGACAAAACTTCGATCCGTACGCCAGCCGAATAATAAAGAGCGCTTTCATGAAATGTTAAGGAGGCACTACCAAGGTGTTTTGTTTCATCGTTACGACGTGATTGCAATTCCTATAAATGTTGGAAAAGGTAGTCACTGGTGTATGGCAATAATCAACACTGTTGAATGTTGCATTTATTTGTACGACCCAATGGCAAGAGGCAGTCAATATCTAACATTGGTAGATAATATAAAATTTTACTTCAAAGAACTTTACCGAATGAGAGGTCAATGTGTCGAAATAGCAAACAAAAATTCTCGGCGCATTGGGAAGACAAATTTTCAATGCAGAATGATGCCATTAGCTGTGGTGTTTTTGTCCTGGCTTATGCTCGTTATAGAATGGGCTTATATGATCATAGTCCAAATATTTTTTTGATAAACGCATTGCGACCAATAATTGCAAATGAGCTTTCACAGTAGTCAATCTTTTGTTGCGCATGTATTGCCCAACATTGAATCGTTTGTAATTCGATGCCTTCCGAGACGGCATGATTGACGCTAAGTTATCCCATTTTCTTCAAAACAAAAAACATACGATTGTAAGAAGATTATTTATCTTACCAAATACCCAAAATTTAAACTAAAGAATGATCGGTAAAGAGAGCTATACAAGCCGAAGTTAGAGTAAGTTATCAAATTTCGCCAACAGAAGCTATTTTTAAAACCCTCAAGCAACAAGGTCATCTGTTGAAAAACAATATGTGTAACCATAGCAATTGAGATGTCAAAATGATGCTCTAGTTATCGCCTATAACACTCTTGTGTTGCCAAGTAGCTCAAGGAAAACGTTTGCTGGAAAATCATCGACAAAAATGATATTGGAGCAGTTAATACACTCTTGGGTCCTGCCTTTATGTTCTTGGATAGCTGATTGTTGTGTTTGTTGTAAAAGTGATAATGAAAATACGAACACCACATCATACTCCAATATAGGGAATGCTACATTGGATTCTAACGATGAAAACACCACATCAAATTGCAATGACGAAACCGCATCATCAAAATTTAAAAAATGTCTAATCTTATTCGGCACATCTGTTGAAGCAACTAGTTGTTTACTTGCCTTTGCCGTCTTAATCACTGTGATTTGTGGACAAATTGTGTATTTGGACCAGCTTACAACCGACCGATGTGCAGGTACTGAACACCTTTTAACCAATTATTCCGCACCAACTTCTGTTCTTTCAGCACGAGCAGCAGGAGAATCATTCGAAGTATTCTTCCTTAATTTATGGTTTCCTTTCACTATGGTGTTGCTGTTGGGTTGGAAAAAAGCTAAAAACATTCACATAAGCAATCTTGTTATTTGTTTTATGACGGGTATTATTGCTGTGATTTACAAGGTATGCTTGTACATAATCTTTGACGGTGATATTACTGGATGGTGGAAAAGATCAATTTCAACTGGTATAATGTTAATTGGCATCATCATTAGTATTTGTCGTATTGCATCATATCAGGCACCGTCAGAAGTTAATACAACTCGGATAAAAATGTTGTTAACAATTGGACTGATTTTCTGTTTTGCTGCACTGTTCGCTAATGTTTATCGATTAGTTCTCGTTCCCTGGTTTAATAATCAGTCAAGTGACTTTTTAAAGATCTTGGTCGCTGCCATGGCTTCTTTAATAGCAACTATTCCAGTAGCCATAAGTAACTACATAGTGCTTGTTCCTCTTAAAAATATCATCGACGTTTCACGATCATATATTTTGGCGTATTTTAATCACGTGATACCCATTGCTCTTTATCGTGTCATGCAATCTGATGTAAAACATTTTGGGTATTTTATACTGTTTTCTTTTTTACAAGGACTTATCGATAATGTTACAAAGGTGAGTACAAAATGCTATTTTCATGATGTTTACCTACCGTATTGCTTTGCTTGCGATGAGAAAAGGAAAGTGAGTTTATTGATTTTGAGAGGAAGAAAAGCCTTGGATGTAAAAAGTGCAGCTCCTTTAAAAAACCAACTGATAAAATTCATTACTTTTGTTAAAAGCAACTCTCTCCTCAACCTGTCAGGTTATGTTACAAAAGCTACTTTTAATTAACAATTATTGTATGAGGTTTAGAATTATATGAAACTATTCAGACATTACTTAGTTTCAGTGGCGTAACCAAAGGAGGGTGGGGGGGGTGGGGGCAGTAGCCGCCTCATCACACGCTTGGATATATGTCTGTCGGAAAATTTTGGATGGTTGTCGGAATTTTAAATGGTCATTATGGATGCAAGCACCCCAAAATTACTGATTTTAATGTCATGTGTTTGAAGATTTCAGAAATCAGACTAGATTTTCTGTCAAACTGTGACACATTTCGGAAGTTATGCCTTTCTCAATATATAGTTACGTTAATGTGTTTAAATTTCACGTTGTACGTCTTTCATTAACCTGCAGGTAGTAGTGTAAATAGAACAGTATTCACAAATGATGAAAGTGTTCAGTAATTAATAAATATACGGAAGGAAATTCAATATACTAAATGCTCAGTAGTAAAATACTTTAACTTTTAATGACAGAACCGAACCTTAACACTACCCCTTACCCTAACTAGAAATTGTTTTTCTATGGCTTTTGTTTTAAATACAAAAGATTAAAGGGAGTCTGATGAGCACAAGCAGTTCCACGTGATATAGGAGATCTTTTATCTATTTTGATGCAGAATAACTTAACAGGTCAATTTCAAAGCATCACAACGTTGCTAAGACATATTTTAACATTGCCTTTTTTCCCCACACGAAGAAAGGTCATTAAGCTGCTCAAAATGTGTCAAAAACCTTTTTGCGTAGCACAATGAGGGAAAATCAAGTATCCAACCTTGCATGTATCGCCATCAATCGGGAACATGTTTCGTCTATTGCACTGAAGGAGCTTGAAAAACCATTTTTAAATGAAGGGACATGGAGAAAACTGTTTAACAAATAAGTGACAATTGTAATACCCAACAAAGTTTTCACCGAAAGTTTTTAGTTACAACTGCCTCTGCTTTGTTTTTTTCAATTCTTCCCAAATTCCCAACTCTTTGGTTAATATAAAATGTTTAAAAAACGCAGAATAAACGAAAAACATAATTTTGGAGTTATAGTTACGATATTTCCATGGATTTGATGATAATTTGTAAATAAACGATTAAAATACATACGCTACAATAAAACTTATAAGACAATCACCACTTTTGCTTGCAAAATGAATTGTGGCCACGCTCGTTTGCTATAGTGAACCTTCTTGTTTGTGGGAAAATTTTAGACTTAGCACCACTAGAATTGTCCAGTTACTCCACTGGTCAGTTTTATTGCTTTTAAGAATAGTTCTTAAAGTTGATATTATGCTAAAGTCGAATTGAACAAAGTTTATATTTCACAATTATAAATGGGGACAGTGTAGCCATTTCGGTGTTTTTTAGCGTTCTATTCTCAATAACAAACTTCGTAAGCATTTACTCGAGCCAAATGAATTTTCTTGCTTCTGCTTATAAGGAGTGAGACGATAGGGAGTGTTATAAATGTAGCACCAACACCGCGTTTCTGGACGATTAACATGTATCTACAAACATGTAAAGATAAATGATCGCACAACAAGGCACAATTTCAGACTCTTCAACATAAATAAAGTCACCTAAATGTGAGTGACATTTGTTTTCCACATAACATGTAAACTGGAATTGAGCTTGAAGCTTGACTTACTTTACTTTGACGACGCTCTTTACACGACGCTCAAATACCAATTTGAGAATTTTTCACCCTGTAGCAATTGGTTGTATCAATTTAATATAAAATTTGATAAAAAAATTTGAAATAAAATTTGTTAATTTTTTTATATTGATTATATCAATTTTTTATACGTGTCTTGGGTTATTATCGTAGTCCGTAATCATTCTGATGAAACATAATCGTAAACTTTGAAAACTTTGGTGTATATTTGCCAAAATTTTGATAAGTCACACTTAATAATATAACAATTTAGCAATACTGAATAGCTAAGGTGGATATTTGTTAGAGGCAACGAGTGGGCTACTGCGGAATTGCCAATTTACGACACCGAAGAAAAATAAAAAAACACAGGCGAATTTAAAATTCCGTATAACCTACGGGTATCTGGAGTAATAATCAAGCCAACTGTCAGATAAATTCTATTACTGTCACTTAACAAAAATAATCAATATGTATATAGAATGTAAAAACTTTCATGTGAATTGTATTTGTTTAGTTTTATGACATTATTCATCTCTTATTTCAGCTGACACGCAACTGTCGCAGCTATTTGTTCAAAAGGCTTATAAAATGTTTGAATATAACACCCGTACCATATTGTGAAAAACATAACAGACGATTAGAAGCTCACATCTACATTCAGGAAGTCCTATTTCAATTTGAAATGCTGATCCTTGCTCAGTTATATACGATCTTTTATCGCATGGACACGTTTCAGTCATATTCTTTTGATGGATCAAGTTTGCTTCGATTATTTGTTGGTCTTTTAATGGAGTTTATATTTGCTTGTCTTTCAACAAGAAATCTGATTTGGCAAGAAGGCACCAAGATCAAGCTTATTTTGAAAAAACACTGGATTTGCCATGTGCTTGCAAATGGTTTGGTAACGATGACAACAGTTTTGTACTTCTCTCCCGTCATCATTAACATATATAAATTTCGTTTTGCAACAGCCGATGACGTGAAAGATTTGCAACATTGCAATTAGGAGTTCATATAAAACGATATTCTAAACACGTCAACATTTTTACAAAATAAATTTCATTAAAATTTCTCTAATTGATATATTTGAACTGCACAAACAATAATTATAATCCATAAAACTTTCGAGTTCAGTTGAGTCCAGTTCTGGACTATCCTTACTTTCTTTTGTCCCATCAGACATTTAGATTAAACAACCAAAATGTAAGGATAGTCCAGACAAACATTGGGAACGTCATGTGTTATCAGATTCCTTTGATTTTGATGACCCTAATTGTATTTCTCTCCTGTCATTCTCACAAAAATGAGTCATATTTTGTAAATAAATTGCACATTTCACCTAACTGTATCAGTATATATATAAACTGATCTTTTATGCTTTAACATACCGGTGACATATTCTTGTTTCAGTTTAATCATTTCTTCAAATAAATATTTAGATATAGATAATACGAATGCATCCATCAGCATATTAGAAATTCTCTTGCACTCTCTTGCACTGCAAACTTTAATATCAAAAACATTAAATGTGATTTATGTCAATAAAAAGTCATGCAGCTGTTATGCTTTGTAAATGATCACTCTTTTTTCGTTATTGAGATAATTATAAACTATTTCCAAATGACATTACGTCATGTAATGTAAATATAGCAACTTGATCATATATATAAAAAGAAAATTACGTCATACTTATAACTAGCTTCCAGACAGTATATAAGTACTGAACAGTTAGAGCGAGGATTATTGTCATTATTATTGAGAGATATTCAGTAATACGAAGGATACCGAACGCTCGTGATATTTGGCTCTTTGTTGTTGGCCGTATCGTCATGAGGATTTGAGGACAGAGGTAAGTTGAAGACATTGTCTGAGAAAAAAAGCAATATTGTTAATGTCGTAGACTGATAAGTTAATACAATCTTTTATTTCTTTATTAGATTTCTTCATTTAATAAATAATATAAAATAATTAAAGTCTTCTGCTCTTAAATCTTTCTTGTTACCTGTGCTTGTTACGGTGAACATAAGTTAATATATCTTATAGGCAAGTTTGCACACATGCAAAATTTCGTATTTACCCATAACAGTTAAATTTATATATACGAGTCATGATTGAAATACAGAGACATCATCAAAGGACTTAAAAACGCCTTGAAATGATATTAGGCGCTTTGCTATCACAATGATGTTATTTACATAATAGACAAATTTTAAATATTTTATGGGCATTCAACTAAAGAAGTTACGTCTGTTTAAGGAGTGGATCTGTGCAAATTAAAATAGAAACAAAGTAATGTTACCTAGTAACCTTTACTTAGCAAACATTTTGAAAAGTTTCTTCACATTTTGTTTGGTAATTTCTGCAAATCGGCTACACTGTCAAATAAAAGGTTTGACAAATATATCAAATGATTCAAGTAGAGCATTGACCACGTATAAAGAAGTAAATAGAGCGTTGCCGCTGGCGCACTTCACCTTAAGAAAGCCTCGTTTCTGGAATACCTCACAGTTTGAGAAGGATTATGCACAAATCTAAGCGCCCCAGCCCTAGCTCACGTACGTACTTCTTGTAATTATGCTAGCATAATTACACTGAAGGTCAAACCCAGGACAACAGCAGGAGCCAATGACGGCCGGCCCACACCCTGCGTCCGCGCGGCGGGCCGTCGGGGTCTATTACTTCTGATGTGATAGTTAGTTAGTACTCATCAAGAGGTTTCCCCTCGAGGACCCAGTCCAACATGCGGAGGTGAGCATCTACTCGCTCCTTCGTAAGAACAACTTACCGTTGCAGTTCCCCGGGAGCAGCCCGGAGGAAGCTGTGAGGCCACCCCCTAAATCTCATCAGCTCCTCAACTAGCTTTTCTCGGTGCCCATGCGAATCGACATGCTTACATTGCCATTCCCCATCCCCGCAGCTTACAGCACCGCTGTCGTAAACACAAGTGGCAAACGAATTTCATAGTTTTGCCATCCAACCACGCACGATTATGCCGCCGACCATTGAAATGCTCGGCTAGATTCATGACGCTCATAGCGCCAGTTTGACATGCCAAACACTCCTTACCACTGACGCCATTTCATACACATTGTTTTATTCAACTACAGGTTTTCCCTCACAAACAAAAGAGGTGTTCACCGCAGTGATTGATTATGATCACAGCTTCAGTCTGTAGCCCCTGGCGTGGGTGGGGTGGTGAAAACTAAAAAACCAAGATTATGCAACACTGTCAATGGCGCACAAAGTTTATGTCTAGCGTGAATTGCCATCCGCCACTCGACGCTGGATTTTTTTCAGAGCGTCCATGCGCCCGAACTGAATGCCCTCATCACGCCCGCTCGCACGTGCAGCGTCCAGCTGTCTTTCTAGCTTTTGCGTCTGTTCGCGGAGATCTCTCTTGGTCTGGCTTCCAATGTCGTCTTTCAACGAAGCTAAACGCTCTACTTCGCCCAAAACGAGCTGGTACTCACCTTCGATGCAGTTGCCATCTCAAAGCGCTCAGCTCGTGATCAGCGAGATTGTTCGGAGCACGGTCTCAGCGGACGTACGAATGCGATCGTATTTTTCAGCTTTCTTGTCCAATCTGCGGCTTACGACACGACTAGCGAAAACGTGACGCAAACAGAACAGCTGCTAGGCCTTCGAACGCGACACCAAAAGGAGTTAAGAGGACGGTACTGAGTACGGCAACGCCGCTAACAGCGCTGCCCACAGTGATAGCAGACAGGGCATTGCTCGCGCCGTCTAACCCGTTCACAGCTCTTTTGTACTTTTTGTAGAGCGTTTGGCGGGCTTCTATTTCCGTGTGCAAGTGAACTTCGACCTTTGAAATCTTCTGTAATCGGTACGTATTTCCGGCATCGCTCGCAGTAGGCAGCGAAGGATAGAGAGGCGCCGTCGACATCGGAAGTGAAGAAGGGGGCGCGGAGGGCTCACACGAGGTCATACTGCTGAAATAGCAATGTCACTATAAAACCATCGGTAGCGTCTGTTGAAGAAAAACCAATAACGGCCACCGCGTTAACCTATAATGCAGAGTCGAAAATTGTGAAAGCTGAAACCTGCCCGCGTGGCTTGCGCACTTCGAAAGTTGTCTTCTCGACATCTATCACCTTCAGCCGGACTGTCGCAGCATCGTTTGCAGGAGCCGCAATCCCCATGCGAAGCAGTCGACTCAAGCTGAGAACCGGGCCAAGCGGAGACCATCCGCCGGCCCCCCTCTCCGCCTGCAGAGTAATACGCGTCGGAGGGCGTCACACTCTCCTTGCAGCGCCATCGGAACGACGATACTCAACCCACTTCATGGCCTGAGCTTGGGTGAGAACGGTCTCCAGCTGCGTACGGGTGGGGCGTTCGAAAGCGTATTCCCATACAAATATCGAGCTCAGTGGATCTTGCTCGGCATTTTATTGGCAGCGGAAACACGTTAAATTCGTCAAAGGAGGTTTCCTTGCCTGGAGCCAAATCTCGACTGCTTGGGTCGTGGACAAATCTAACTCCATGCTGATGATATGTATCAGGGGAACTCAAGATAATACATCCTATAGGTACGTCTCCAATTGTATCTCTACCTACCCCGGTTTTCCGAGACTTCCCGCGGGACCACGGCATAAAGAGATGGAAGTTCCAACCCCAGCCTCTCGCAGTTTACCGTTTCTCATATGATACCGCTCGTTTTCAGCCCGCTCAATCCAAGACTCTGAATCTGTATCTTGCCATTCTTCAGATTCGCTTCCTACCCAAACCGCGACACCACAACGTCCTGTCGTACGAGATCAGGCAGCGTTCCTGTAACAATTCTCGGTAAACCACGCAAACGGTCATCAACGCCATAGAGGTTGAGCTTGTTTACCTTCAGCTACGCGACAGTATGAGAGAGAGTGCCCTCAGTATCCTCATTCTCAATTTTCGTTTGTTTTGCACCACATCATCCTGCAAACGAGCAAGCTGCTCCTCCTGATCACTCATCACCGAAGCAGTCGCCGTCTTATCCCAAGTGGTCGCCCAAAATGCCATGTCCATGAAACATTCAAACAAAGCCTCGAGCGTTCAATATAGCAAGACATTTGCAAATGATGCAGCTCCCGTTAATGAGGAGTGCATTAATAAAGGCGGCATCGCTAGTCATCTTCCCTCAGACGTCTCCAGGCATAAAATGACGATCATAATTTATAAATTTGCTCTCCAGTGTTTTGGAGTAGGTCTCAAGCAAGGCCGCCAAATTACCGAACTTCTGTCCTGACCCCGGTACCGCAATAGCATGCTGTTTGATCTCCTGGAACTTCTGCCTCGCCAGGCGAAACTGGGGATGACTTAAGTCGTGTACGACGTTAGCGACCACCTCAAAGGGATACTTGCTGAGAAACTCTTGGGTTACTTTATTCACGAGCACGCGATAGTCAGCCACGATGGAAAGACGCATATCCTGATCCGCCTGAGGCTCCCTGAGATTTGCTTCAAACCCTTGAGGGTTTTCCGTGAACAATTGTAGCAGCTGCGCACGCGGAGTGAAATAGTTTCTTTTGAGAAAGGCCTCGAGATTCTTCTGGCACGCCAGAAAGCAACCAAAGACGAGCAGCAACAGACAATCGAACTCCCCCTTTTTCCGAGTCTGAAGAGAAGGCGCGGTTGTAGTGCCCGCCAGGAGTTAGTTTTTCAAACGGACATCAGCGACGCTGTCGCGAACCTGACCTGTATCTTCAGAATAGATCAGCAGCCTGGATTTGACCGCGCTCAGGACAGACTGTTCATTGATAAGCTCAGGGTGGCCCTCGAACAAGGCATAGAGCTCTTTTACGCTTGGTTGTTTTTTTTCACCTCCAGCAAGCTCAACTTAGTAAGGGGAGGGTTTGGTATACACCGCAATGCATTGCGCAGGAATGATAAAATCCCGGTCACGATTTGTTGCTCCAGCGTGAAGAAGACGTTCAATTTCAGATTATAGCTATACATTGTAAAGTACTTATAGAGGCATTCCCTCTGCGTTCCGCATTTGAGATTAGGGACCTTAAGATTTCACGACGCGCGTTACAACGACGCGTGTTTGGCGCGCATGGCCTGGTGCGAATGCGTCCGCGTGTCATTGTAAGTTAAGTCATTAAGATTGGATTTCCTTAACGACGCGAACTTGTGAGTTCACTATCGTTACTTTCAAAAAAATGGCCCCCTTCAAAAAAACAAGAAATGCTATAGCTGTTGCGTTTGACGCCGCTTTGATAAACGAAGAAGAATTTGCGCTTTTGTATGATATTTCGCGTTCAAAGAACCCAGAATTAAAACATGGCGGCTATTCATCTTTTGATTTGGAGGAAATTGATGAAGTTACATGTGCTGTAGACTTTCGTTTTAAGAAACACGAAATTCCTTTGCTGGCTGAAGCGTTAGATTTTCCTCATCGTTTCAAATGTAAACAAGGAACAGTTTGTGGTTGGCTGGAAGCTCTCTGCCTTGTCCTTTGTCGGTACGCTTATCCATGTAGATACAGTGATCTAGTACTGCAGTTTTTAAGGTCTGTTCCAGAACTCAGCATGATCATGAATACCGTTGTTGATTACATTTTTGAGAGGTATGGCGA